TATACTTAAGTCGTCCACAATTTCTGTTCATCACTGACAAGTCTTTCCAAGACAACGGTGTAGCTTCATAGGAACACCTCTCCTTTTCACGCTCATATATCATGTGTTTACATAATATTTAGTTACATGTCTTAAATGGAAAAAGTACAACTGGTGTAAACAGGTTTGGGAACAAACAGCTTGCAGTTGGCTTCTGACTGCACTGATCGGGGAAGTGGGAGGGTCCATGGATAGCAGCTGCCTCACAGGGCACCCAGGCATCTGCTACGCTTGCTGGGGGAGGAGGGCACACGCTTGCCAGGGGAGGAGGGTACATGCTTGACTGGGATGGACCCAGGGAGCTTCTCTGAATCTCAGTTGAGGCTCAACCAAAGAAACAGCTAATGATCTATTCTCATGCGGGAGGGGAAGAAACCAATCAGGTTGGCCCTAGGGAGGAACTGTAGGTTAGTCTCTAACCTGATGCCTTTCTAAGGCGCTCAAGGGTAATTTTGTCTGCTCAATTTTTATCTTATAGACTATTGGATAAACTCCCTCATAAGATGCAGTAACACTGCTGTAAACAGAACAGAAAGAAAAAGTAGTGGTGCTTTTGACCAAACAGAGAAAAACTGAAAGGCGGAATATATATTATAGAAGTATATATAAGTATGTATTATATAAGCACCTATACTTTAAAACATATATATGTAAATATAGTTTATATTTTTATTATATTCATACATAACATATACAAATATTTTTATTATTTTATATTTATATGTAAAGTATATGTATTTAAATATATATTTATATATAAAGTATAAATATATGTAAAATATATTACATATAAAGTACATATTTTATATATTTTTATATATTTTAAAGTATATATATACTTCTATATTATATATAGTATATATTCTGCCTTTCAGTTATATGCATATGTGTGTGTATATGTCTATAAGAGTATATATACATATCTATGGTGTGAGTGTGCGTACTTATCTGATGGTGCTTCATGAGATATGGAGGTTCACACTGTATCTGAAGATAATTTGATGAAAATCTTTAATCCCTAAAATTCCAGCTAGACTGAAAAATTGGCTTAGTTGCCTTGATTCATTACTTTGGACCCCAGTCTATCATTTTACTCATCATCACTGCTATATAGGGTTTGGATAAACAGGTTTTGGATGAAAAGTATCTGAAGCTGAATCCAGCCCCCGGGACAAGGAGTGAGAGCCCACAATCATCCTTACTGGCCAATTCCACTCTGCGGCCACTTTGCAACACTAGCAGCTGTGAGGGGTGGCATATTTAAAGGGCCTTTATTTAGCTCTTGCATTTTATTTATTTATGATTTATTATTTACATCCTGCTTCCTTCCACGAAGGATTTGGGACAGCTTAGCGCTTCAGTTTAGCCCATTCCTAATCAGTTCAGTCACTTCTCCTTCATCCTGCTATGTCCAACTTCAATAGAGTTGTTTCCCCAGTGTGGCCAATTAACTCGGACCCCTGTGGTCTGGGCCTTCCACTGAGCAACAAAGGCGGTGCTTTTGCAGAGTCTGTGACCTTTGGATTCCTGCCCCAGCAGCACAGGAAATTCTGGCAGCCCTTCCCAGGGCATCCCTTTTGGTGTCAAGACCTCCTGGGGGTGGCATGGGGTGTGGAGACCCAGGAGTCCATCAGCAGCTCCACAGCCTGTGCAGAGGGAGCTGAAGAGTAGCCTCAAAGACTCTCCCTGGGGACTGTGTGGGACGCCAATAAATGTCCCAGCCAGTAGGGGTCTCCATCAATATGCTCAATAACCACACACCCTTTTGGTGAGAACACGAGAAAGAGCAAGCCTCAATCTCAGCTACTACGGATCTCCACCCATCCACCTCCACCTCCAATCCTGTCAAGTCTCTGACTAAATGGAGCAAAGGATCCACAGGCGTCCTTCAATCTGCCATGATCTTGCTGGGCAAAATAGATCACCTAACTTAACTGTGCTTGCTTTCTCCATCTACATCTTAGTGATGAAAACACTGGTCACAGGCATACTTAAAAGAACCCCAGGGTGAGAACTGCCACGTGTGGGTGAAGAAAAGCCCCTGAATGTCCTTGTGCCTGAGAGTCGCTCCTAATTGACCATCTTTTCAGGGCCCCAGTCCCTTGCTCTTGCTTTTCTTTGTAAGAATGGCAGCCACTGATCTCAATGCCTATTACTTTCCCCCGACAGTGAATAAAGCACTGCATTCAATCATCTATTCTTGTTAGCTAGCCTGCACTCCTGGTAATTCTGCTCCCTGAGAGGATAAATAGCATTAGGCACCTAGTACACAGTTGTCCATGTAAGGGATTGTCCTCAGACAAAACAGAGATGCCTCAGACCATCTGAACATATTTTTCCATTAGTGAGGACAGAGTTGCATGCATCACACATACTCTCCCGCCAACCTTTTCCCAACCAATAGCAGACATGTGGAAACAGCTGGCAGAGGCTCTGGGTGCGACCCTTGGCCATGGAATAGTATGAAGCTAACTTGCATGCATAGGGAATGAATCCACGACAGATTCACTAACCACAGGACTGAGGTTAATGAAGAGATAGATGATCCAAATGCTGGCCTTGATTGGAATGGAAGCAATCTTCACAGAATAGAAAACACTGGGCTAGATTCCCCAACGGTCTACCTCAGTGGTCTGCTCTTATGTGCTAATCGGTGCTGTGTCCTAACCACCTGACTAACCAGTTACAGACTTGGGAGTATGATAGACACCAAGGGCGGGGCTTTGAACTTTGCAGTAATAAAATGACAACAAAGAAATCTATAGACTGTACATTGCGTATCTGAAGTAGAGGTATGTAAAATTTTTATTCTATATTGTTTTAATCTCATAAGGCAAGTAAATGTAGATCCTTGTCCTTGGTATAAAAATGCATATAGACTGAAAGATAAGATTTGAATCACATGTCTCTATCTATAAAGCACTTCCAAATGCTACCCTTGTGTGGTATCATTATTACAACCTTGCTTGATAGATGAGGAAACTGAGGCTCAGAAAAAAGTGAGGGGCTCTTGGGTAGCTCAATCAGCTAAGCGTCTGACTTGGGCTCAGGGCATGATCTCATGGTTCATGAGTTCGAGCCCCACGTCAGGTGTCATGCTGACAGTGTGGAGCCTGCTTGGGATTCTCTCTCTCTCCCTCTCTCTCTCTCTCTCTCTCTCTCCTTCTCTCTCTGCCCCTCCCCCACTCAGGCTTTCACTCTCAGAATAAATAAATAAACTTAAAAAAATTTTATACATAAAAAAAGAAAAAAGTGATTAGCCTGAAGTCTAGAATCCTGGTGTTTGACTCAAAGTTGGCTGTACCTCCTGTTTTTTTCATGTTCCTACCACTCATGAGACATGAGCTTGCCGATCAAGTCCAGGAGGGAAAAGACCCCTTCAGAGGACTAAAAAGAGATATAAATATTGTGTCATTAGTTGGCTTACCTGGGCTTTCAATGTCTGCCCACACAAACGCATATTTTAATAGGCAAACAACTCTGTGGTGAAAAGGATTGGACATGTATGCTTGGATTTCAAGTTTGATATAAGCCGTTCAAAGTCACAGGTGAAAAACTGCAAGAATCTCACTTTATAAAATGGCTTACTTTATAAATGTGGTTCAAGAGGGGTGCTACTAAAAGACATCATGAAGGGTGCCTGAGTGGCTCAGTTGGTTAAGCATCCGACTTCAATTCAGGTCATCATATCACAGTTCATGAGTTCGAGTCCTGTATCGGGCTCTGCACGGACAGCTTGGAGCCTGGAGCCTGCTTTGGATTCTGTCTCTCTCTCTCTTTCTCTGCCCCTCCCCCACGGTGCTTTCTCTCTCAAAAATAAATAAACATTAAAAGAATAGAAAAAAAGACATCACGAGATTCTACATTTTTTTAAAACTCTTAAGTTGATGTTATATCCAGTCATTCCATCCAGAGCACACTGAAAGTCTAAGCCTAACTGGAGAGTGAGTCGTGATGACTGGCACATCCACCACCAGCGGATCAAGGTGTCTCCTCACTTTGCTGAGCTGCAGTCCTCCTGGACAGTGCTGCTCCAGTCCTGGAGACTTACAGCCCCCTGGGCTCCTGCTCCCACAAACCCCCAAGGAACACTCCTCAGCAGTAGAAGGAACTTTCTCCTGTTCTTTGCAAACAGAAGACACCTGTGGCAAAACTCGTGCAGGGGTGAATGTCCCTAGAGAGATGTGGATGACGGTGTGACAATGGCCTGGCCTTATGTCCCCAGCCTATCGCTTTCCAGAACAAGTTAACCAGTTTCTCAGAGGACTCTTGGTTCCCTCCATTAATTATGGAGAAAATAAAAATAATATCTACATCCCATGTTCCTATGACGACAAAAGGAAGTAAGGTAATTCGAGAACAACACAGCACCGTGCAAAGAAGAGCTTAGATAGCGGTGAAGCCTGGAAAATGAGATTAGCTAAGACCCTGGGACCGGGGGAGGCAGACTGACAAGGGACTTCTAGAGCAGGCCTGGCTCACTTCCCCACTTCCTCTTCCCAGCCCCAGGCACACCCCCCAGTGATGACACTAGGCCACCTCAACTCTGTCCCAGGGTGTTGTTATACAGGGAGCTGAGGCCGTCTCAAGCATAGTTCCAGGTGGAGATGCAGCACAGGTAAGTTTCCAAAGGAACTTTCCAGAGTCCAGAGGCAGCCGGTACTCTGAGAGTTGGGTTCTGTGACTGTGTGTGTGTGTGTGTGTGTGTGTGTGTGTGTGTGTTCGTTTTCAGGTGCTCTATCCATCTTTCTTACCCTAAAGCACCAAGTAGAGCATCCCCTGGAAATGTTTGCTGAAGAATGAGAACAGGGATAAGGATTCATCAGTTGATTATTCACAGTCCAGATAAAGGAAGGCTCATAAAACAACCAGACATCACCACCAAAAAAATCCCCCCATACACACCAACTTTTGTGTGATTAAGAATGATAAGAATGGATCCTGATAAGAATGGGTACCACCAGGGAAGTTGGCAGGTCTCTCATGAATTGTGAAACTGAGTTCCTAACTATGACACATCTCAAAAGCATCACAGGCCTATGGAGATACTGATCCCCTCAACCCTCGAGCAGCTGAGCACAGCCCAGGTACCTGGGTGACTCCAGTGTGCTGAACAACTGTTAGCATTCTCCATGTTCTTGGTCACGTAAGGGACCCCAAAACAGACACAGAAATGTGGACCTGCAATCCTAAACATCTCCTGTTTATAACCCAGAGAAGCAAAGATAAATTGGATGCTTGGTTCCTCAGGTTCATTTATCTCCTTGTCTGATTCGTCACTTGTGACATCAGGTCCTCACAAGCACCCCGTGAGTGAGGCATCCACTATTTACAGGTGCATGAATCAGGCCTCAAAGAAGCCAGGTGGCTTGCCCAGTGTCATCTTTTTCTAAGCACCAGCCTGGCCCCTATTCTGCTCATCCTCTACCTCCTCCACAGCACATAAAATGTACCCACCCAGGGCATACTCCTAATTCCTCAGTCTGACTTCTCTTCTAATGAATGTAATCTTCGAAGATGTGAGAGTGGAAACAAAAGTGAAAAGTAAGGACATTGCAATGGGAAGAGGGTAGAGCCACAAATGGCACAGAGAGGTCAGGCTGTAGGCAATGGCTGGATGGAAGAGACTCTTGTTGGTGGGTAGGTTGACTGCAGTAGGGCCAGATGGCTACCTACCCAGAGCAGAATGTCAAACAAGCTTTCAGGGCTGTCAGGATGAAGGCTACCTGGAGACGGGACTTGGCAGTCACTTGCCCAAAGAAGGAGGCTGAATCTCCTTCAGGCTGAGGCCTTGCCGGAGAATCTGGATCACAAGGGGCTTACTGAGCCTCCGTGAGGAGGTCTGGGAGTTCTGTGTCCCTAGGTAAACATTTATGATTAATTGGAGAGCTAAATAATTACACAATTATTCAAGCTCCTTCCTTCAAGCTCCTCTCACATCGAATCATGTGATTCAATTAAAGAATATTCTTGACCTCAAGGTCCTGGAACCTGGACCTCAAGGTCCTGGAACTTTAGGTTCCTAACACTGAACTGACCTGTTAAAGGCATCTTCACTCTGTAGGTCCTCAGCTCCTGGGATGAGTAGGATCTCCCCACCATGCAATCTTTAGACTACCCAGATGTACAGAATTGCAAAGTAGAACCCAAAGAGGACATTCTCACTTCCAAGAGATAGATGGAAAGGAGGTTGGCTCTGCACTGGCTCATTTCAACAGTCCTCACAGGAAGCTTCCTGAAACTGTCACTTACTCTGCAAGGCTGACTGTCCTACTGGTGCAGCTGGCCCATAGGAAGGAGCTGGTGGTCATCTGATGTGACTGTACCACTGCAGAGGACAGACAGGTGTCTACGCCTTAGCAGAGAACCCAGCACAACTTTGACAGTAAGGCTGCAATGCTCTCAGCAAAAAAAACCCTTGACTACAAAGCTAGAAATAGCACTTCCAGCCGACCTCTGCTCTTCCCCTCCATAAACCTAGCATCTCTCCGACCTTGACTGGCAGCGAACAAGCAAGACAAACAGCCCATCACACATAGTTAGTTCTAGCTGCCTTGGAAAGCAAGAAAGGAATCGGGAGAAAACCTGCACTTTAAGGGATGGGAATGTAACAGAGCAGTGGGGAAACTTCTTTCTACAAGAACGGCATGGTAGTGTTACTTATGGAGGCAAAATTTTAGCTAATTATCAGTTTCAGTTTCTTATTACACCACAGATAGATGGTGGGTGGACCAGTCTGTTTCAGTGGCCAATGTATCTGGAATATTTTACAGTAAAATATTTTAATGGCCATTATTAACTATAATGTATCACTGTGAGTTTGTGAAGAAACTGAAAAATGATCATACTACAGGTATGATTAGACACATGTATAGATTAAACAGAATGCACACATTCCTATAAAAGGCATCCTGAGTACCAGTCAATGTGGCATTGACTTCCACTGGAAAATAGATGTTAAGTTTCTCCAGGGAATGGAGAAATGGTAAAAAAAAAAAAAAAAAAAAAAAAAAAAAAAAAAAAAAAAAAAAAAAAAAAAAATCAGGTTATCTGTCACCTTGCCCTGTGGGCTTGGCAAACAGGAAAAAGCACATAAAAAGGTAGTCCTAGAATCAGCTTTACTATAATTCTTGCTACTTATTTTAGAAGATATCTGTGCAAGTATTTCAGCACCTCTCTGTATCTCAGCAGAGAGGTTCATGCTGAGTTAGGGAGGTCCTCTCCCTTGCCAAATAAGGCAAGTCCAAACTCAAGGGGGGAAAGGCCAGGAAGGGATGACCTAGGGAAGACACCCTGAGAGGGGTCCACCACACCAAGAACAGAAGCTTCTCCAAACAAGTATCCTGGGGAGAAAAGCCGTTGACAGCTTCAAAGTATCTCTCCATATGTCAACAGAGAATAGCCAACCAAAAATGTCATCAATGAAAAACCATCTAGACACAGTGATGTGACATGGAAATCTACTGAATTGATGAAGGGTAAAAACAGAAACTAAAGAGGCGCCTGGGTAGCTCAGTCAGTTAAACGACTGACTCTTGATTTTGGATCAGGTGATCATCTCGTGATTCATGAGATCAAGCCCTGCATCAGGCTCTGTGCTGACAGTGTGGCACCTGCTTGGGATTCTCTCTCTTCCTCTCTCTCTGGCCCTCCCTCCCTTTCTCTCTCAAAATAAATAAAATAAAACTTTAAAAATGAAAGAAAATTTTAATTACTTAAAAAAAACACAGAAACTAAAGATTATTGGAGAGCTGAATTCTATAGGAAGGGAAGTTAAGGGTAAGAATCTAACTCTTTAAGGGCACCTGGGTGGCTCAGTCATTAAGCATTGGACTTCAAGACCTCACGGTTTGTGAGTTCAAGTCCCACATCGGGTGAGCTTGAGCCCTGCTTCCAGTAAAAAAAACCATGAGTCCCACACTTTGGGTGAGCCCCACTTCTCTCTTTCTCTCTCCCTCTCTGCCCCTTGTGGGATTCTCTCTCTCTCTCTCTCTGCCCCTCACTCACTTGCACCCTCTCTCTCTTTCTCTCTCTCTCAAACAAAAAAAAGTCTAACCCTTTAGAATCTAAAATCTTGCAATCTAATTTTTATTCATTTTTCCATGTCCCACCATAAAACTAGCTTCCTCAACAATATAAAAATAATAAATATTTGCTGATCATTTATTATTTGCCAAACACTCGAAGCACATTACATGTATCAACTCCTTTCCTTATCAAAACAAACCTATGTGGCAAATTCAACTATTATTACCTTCATTTTACAGAAGACAACATTAAAGCACAAAGAGGTCAAATGAATTGCCTAAGGTCACACACCTGGTAGGTGTGTGGATTCTCACGTGGCCATTTTGGCTCCAGAACTTCTGCTCTTAACCATTATGCTTTACTGTCTCTCAATGAAAAGGAATGTCCAAAGGAAAGAGAGAAAACAATGCCAGTGAAATAAAATGGGTTCTACCTGAATCAGCTTGCTGGAATAAATTCAGTGAATAAACAAGGACAGTGTATGCCGTGATTGCCTCCACCCCAGCACTCACCCCTCCCCTCCCCCACTGGGGGGAGGCCATGGGACTTGGGCAGACCCATCTATTGATGCGGTCCCTGAAAAAGTATATTGTCTATCTGCAAAATAATGAACTGGCATTTCTGTTTATGGATTAGCCTCCTGTGAACTTAGGAAGTGCAAGTCTTTCCCAACCTTCCATGAGGCAACTGATGAAATCACACTAAAGATCTACAAAGCAGAAGATCAGAACCTAGTCCACAATGAAAGCGAGCCAAACAAGAGCGGTGTCCCTTGAAATCCAACCTGAAATAGTCATCTAGTGTAATTCACTTCTCTAAGAGAGAATAAAAGTGCTCATTTACTGAGCACTTACTATGTTTGTGTCAGACACTGATGGGTTGTTCTCTGTGCCATGTTCTTCACGCATCCTTCTATATTCTCCCTGGAGACAGCGGCAGGGGCTTACCAGCCCCAGAAGGAAGGCTGTGGAGTCCACATATCACACACCAACACTGCTTCTGGGACAAAACTTATGCTGGCCTGTGGCTAAATAAGAAAAATCTGGACAATACAATAGGAGTTTTCCTGGAAGCTATATGGGTATGGTATAGAGGACGGTCCCTTATTCTGAGATTATATTCTTCCTACTTCTGGTATTAAAATATCTTTTCTTTCAGGAAAGGACTATAACATTACATGGCAATTTTGCTATTGCTTTTTTTTTTTTAACATCCTTACTTCTCAGGCTAGAAGCTAACAACCCTATGTTGAGCCTCCTCAATTAAAAACATTGTTAGATCATAAAATTCCAAAGCGTAGGGTCACTGGCCCAGGGGACTGATAGCCTGGATTTTGTCCAACCTCAACCACAGGGGGAATTCAGAAAACAAGAGACAATCCCAGTGGCTGAAATGTACCCTGTGCTGCCAGTGGCTTCCTTGCTAAGCCCCTATCTGACCTCTAGTTACTCCCTTGGTCCCCAGTGGCTGCTACCAGTAGGAATTCCCTATCCTTCCTGGCCAAGTTGACATGCTGGGCAGAGTTCAGGACACAGCTTTAAATGTGGTTTCCTGATTAACAGAGAGACTCCAGTTAGGCAGGAAGGAGTTCAAGCTCAAATATTATATGTCATAGTCATCTACCGGTTCTTAGGAATGAATACATCAACAGAAATGACCTGGAGCAAAATACCATTCCTGAGAAAATCCCTAACAACTCAGTGAGAGACTCCTGTTACTGCACTGCATCTTTTGTGTCTTCTTTTGACAAGAAAAGTGTCACGTTAAAGACTCAGTTCCTCTAAAATACATTTACACAGAAAATATTTGAGAAGGCTGATGGTGATGGAGAGAAACGAGTGCTAAAAGGAAGAAGGCACCACATCTATATGCCTTTCTGGCTAAGAAAGTAGGAGAACCCGCAAAGCAGGAGATGGGGTCGCTGACTTGACTGTGCCATTAAATTCCCCTTG